TACATTGCTTCATGACTTGTTATTTGATCATGACCTGAGTTTGAAAAAAACACTTATACCATAAATCCTTGAGTTCCTCAATACTTAAATATGAAATCCAGAATCTCCCATATATCCCTCTCAGTTGCTGTCAACATAATTAAATGTATTACATGTTTTGCTCTGATTTTCTCATCTTATAAATGTTTGGATATAATATTTAATGTATGTACTTTTATTTATTTATTTTCATTTAGCATACAAGTTCTTGGGAATTAAGACTGTTGCCTTTTATATTTTTCATTTTTAAAAATATTTTATTTTGAAATTACCAGTTTTTTCAGGAAAAAATTTACAAGTATACTACAAAGAAATTATTTTACCCTAGGCTGTTTGAGAATAGGTTGCAGATCTGATGCTCTATCACCTCCAAAGACTTTATTATGTATTTTCTATACATAAGGACATTCTCCTACATAACCACAATATAAACTTGTTATGGAAAATTAATACAGTGGGAGTTGTGGAGGAGAAAAAGTACAGTTAAGCAGTAGATTTGTCATAGTTTGAAGACTACTTTGGGGGGAAAAAAAGAGCTCTGTTAGCACAGTGGTTAAAACCCTTCAGCTGCTAGCCAGAAGGTCAACGGTTCAAACCCACCAGCCACGCCATAGCAGACAGATAAGGCAGTCTGCTTTTGTGAAGATTTACAGCCTTGGAAATCCCATGGGGGCAGTTCTACTCTGTCCTATAAGGTTGCTGTGAGTCAGGATTGACTCAGTGATGGTGGGTTTGGTTTAGTGTGAAAAAGGGATAGAAAAACTTCAACACTGAGATGAGTCTATCAGTTGATTTTTTCCTCTTTGTTTTTATGTGTGAATTGGGAAATGACCACAATTTAAAAAATATTTAGTTACTCAACCCCCAAATGTTGATGTTCTGTGGGTATATAGTTTTCAAATATTTTATTTCAGTAGCCAACGAAGTGTTTGATCACAAATTCCCTACTGTGTACTGTTAAGGTTTAGAGTTAAATGACTGGGATTTTTGAGTCAGGTAATAGAATCTAAAGAAAAACTTATTAAGGCATGGGAGAAATGAGATATTTTGGAAATCACCCTAGGATCTGCACATAAGAGTGTGTCAGTGCGTTAAGAGTAATGAAAGAAAGTAATAATGATATCCACGCCTTAGATTTCAGCTGACCTGTCTCTGAGTATCCTATCCCAAATTTCCCCTGCTAGAGCGCTCCATCTCAAACTCAGTATGACAAGAAGTAAACTTAACACACCACCCTTAGACCTCTTTTGAATTGGGACTCAAGTTTCTTTTACCTGCTCCTGTGCCTAAGGCACTTGACTGCTAACCAGAAGGCTGGTGGTTCAAACCCACCAGCCACTCCTCAGAAGGAAGGTTGGGCAATCTACTTCTGTAGTGATACTGCCTCGGAAACCCAAGGAGGGGTCGCTATGAGTCTGAGTCAGATCTGACTCCATGGCAGTAGGTTTGGTTTTGGTTTGGTACCAGTACTTAAGTCTAGAATCCAGATACTGGCTTTTCCTGTTCCTCAGCCACTTTTCCCCACCCCCACTATATCTAGTTGATTTCTATATTTTGGAAAGGGCACTGGAAAGCTTAGAGTTCATCCTAGCTTTATTACTAGTAACTGAGACTTTGAGAACATCCTTTACTTTCTTTATCTTCAAATTTAAAAATGCACTGCCCTCAAGTCAGATCCGACTTACAGCGACCCCTCCTTGGGTTTCTGAGGCAGTATCACTACAGAAGTAGAGTGTCCAACGTTCTTTCTGAGGAATGGCTGGTGAGTTTGAACCTCCAGCCTTCTGGTTAGTAGTCAAATGCCTTAGGCACTACGCTACCAGAGATCCTATCTTCAAATTACCCTCTCTAAATTCTGATGTTTGAAATAAATTTAATATAATATAGCTCAGGTGTAGCAAGAATTGTGAGGATGGCACAGGACCCAGCAGTTTTTCATTCTGTTGTATTTAGGGTCACTGTGACTTGGAGCCAATTCAATACCTAACAACAAGATAGTGGTTTAGAGCATGGTCTCTTTAATTAGAGGCCCCTTCTTTTTTTCTTCTTCTCCCTTGTTCATTAGCTGTGTGAGGTTGCGAAAGTCGCTTTTCTGTGCCTCAATATCCTCATCTATATAATGAGGATAGCAGTAATACAGGGGTGTTTTGAAGACTAATTGAGTTAATATATAAAATATTAGAAATAATTCCTGGTATATAGTAATCACTAAATAAGTGTTAGCTCTTATTATCATCATCGTGATTTTATAATTGATGCTTTCTCAGGTCCTTTTTGTTATTTTGTAATGTTGTTGTAATAGTCTCTCTCCCATTTGCCAGCCCCCTTATCTCTGTCATCACTGTTCTTCTCCTGTTATCACTGAGGATTAAATAAGTTATTACATGTAAAATGCTTAGAATATTGCCTAGCACTTAACTTACTAAACATTCAGGATGTTCACTCTTATTATCATTACTAGGATTTTTATATTGATGACCTCTCAGGTCAATCAAATCTTTTCCTTGTCATTTGTGGTCCTTTGCTTTTAATCTCTCCTGCTGTCCAAATTGGTTTTTCTAGGACACTATTCAGATACTGTTGCTTCTCTTTTTTGAGACCTTTGGTGCCTAAAAGGAAAAAAACAAAAAAACAGGGTTTCTTCGTCTTCAGTAAAATTTCGTTTTAGCTATTTAAGAGCATTGCTTATTAAAATAATCCTATTTTTTTACAAAAGGAAAAGTTATACTGATGATCACATTCTGGTGGACTTGCTATTTATTTATTTTTAGCAAGGGATTGAGCTTAAAATGTTATCTAAAGAACTTCAGCAGTTTGGTTAAAGTAGGATATAAGGGGTAAAGATGAGGACGGTTTTATGAATTTTTTAATGATAGAAAAATAAATGTGTGCTCATCGAAGTTTAAGATAAGAAAAAGTTCAAATGTGATTATTAATTCTTTATAGACAGCTCTCATTTGTTCATTTCAAAATCTCAAGCTGCTTTTTAAAATTTAAATGAAAATAGCCCCATTTCCCTATTTTTAAAGCACTGTTTGCTTTTTGTTAGACGAATCATAAGAGACCTTATCTAATTTCTTAAAGAGAAGTCACTTGTTATGTGTTCATTTGCATGACCTGCTCTTTAACCCTTTGATAATCTCCAGCTATTTTCATATTTAGAGTATTACTGAGAAAAGTATTTTCTCTCCTAAAGAAATTGCTTTATGTTTTATTCTTACTATTAATAACCACGTAAAGCCATTTCACCACAGTTAAAGTTTTTAGACAGTTTCTTTAAGTCAGATTTTTATGCATATTTTAAAAACTTTACTGCAGGAAATGGCAGAGTAAGAGTTAATGTGTTACTTGGAGGGAAGAGCTGTCCATTGGGGGTTAAATTGCAGAGTCTAATGGAATAATAACTGGTAGCACCATCTGCTGGCCTACTTCCGCAGAAGGAGTCAGTATTTTTAACGACATCTCTAATATTCATGCTGATGCATTTTGATGCTTTGTGCATTCATTTCTTTCTGTGCTTTGTTGGAATCTGGCTATCTGCTTACAGCTGTTGAGGAAAGTCAGCTTTTTAGGAGGGGTTTACAGCCTTTTTCATACCTGAATAGGATGAACAGTGGGTATAAACTTGCCAAGGCAGAAATGTGTTGATAAATCACAATGTGGAGGGTTGTGCATCTCTTCGTTGCAGCTTGCTAAATAGGCCATTTAGGAATCTTCTTTCAATGCTTTTTTCTTGAGCACTGCCTGGGGTGGTGAAAAAGCAGAGGGCAAGCCTTTGTCTGACGCCAAAAATGTCTTCAGTGAAGAGGCCAAGAGGAAGGGTAAGTGAAAGCCTGAATGAGTGGGAGGAGGAGGGGTTCTTTGGGCTAAAAGGCTAATGGGATTGAATAACCTTCCTTATTACTGGCTGCTGCTGCGGGAGTCGTACTGCATCGCCATCTTGAGCTTGTTGCTGTTTTCTGGAGTCTTGGTTATTTGTTGTAGCTTGTAGGCCTTAAGGTGGCATTTCAGTGAGCAATTCTAAACCCTCCTTCCTTTCTCAGTGCTGCAGCACTGCTATGAAACCTTTGATGAGGCAGGTATAGAAAAGGTATCCAGTGAAGTACACTGGAATCGGCATGAAAATGTGTTTGGAAATTCCTGGTGTTTTTTTCCTTTACTATAGTCACAGGCATGTTTACGGGTAAGAACGTAACAAAACTGTGATCTGAGTATTTGTGGATGAATGTGTTTGAAGAGAAAATTCTTTTTAAAATGTTGATTTGCTTCCTGTGAGATTGCTAAAATATTAATATTTTAATGTAAAACTATCAAACTTGTTTTTTCCCAGAATTGCTTGAGCAATATAATTTTGATATAGGAAGGGGGGGGGGAACCCACATTTAACTCTTTCATGGAAAAACTAAAACTTTCTCTAATATTAAGAATGGGAATGTCTGTTTACTAACTAGCTGTGTTGCTGCATAGAGTGCACATTAAAATGGTTTCAGTGATTTCAGGTTTCAGTCTCTTGTAAAGTAGAAGCTTTTTATTTATTTTTTAAAATCCTAATGAACTGTGAGGAATAGTCATTCTAAATAAAATTGCCATGGTAAAATTATTAATAATTTTCAGAGTTCTGGAAAAATGAGGAAAGAAAAGACTTTTATACCAAATGCACATAACAGTTATAGGACAAAATTTGAATCAACTAACTGACCAAGAATGCTATGAAAATAAAAGTAAATCTATATTACCTTATTCTAACCTTCATTTTTCAAAGCAGCAGTTAAGCTGTTTATTTTATGGCTAACTAATTTCTAGAGAATAATATTTCAATTTAAAATTTGTTTATAGCATTTACATACTTGCTTGTATAATTCTACTTCCCCATTTATGCCTAATTTTAAATGTTCAGATATTTATGTCTGTTTTAGATGTACGTTGGTATAGTGTATAAAAAAATGTTTTGGTTTCTCTAGCCTCCGTCTTCCAAGAAGAGTGATGGTTCTGGGACATATACTAAGTTGCAGAATACCCAGGTGAGGGTCATGTCTGAGAAGAAGCAGAGAAAAAAGATGGAATCAGAAAGCAAGCAAGAAAAGGCTAATCGTATAATATCAGAGGCCATAGCAAAAGCAAAGGAGCGTGGGGAACGCAATATTCCACGAGTAATGAGCCCTGAAAACTTTCCTAGTGCTTCAATTGAAGGAAAAGAGGAAAAGAAAGGCAGAAGGATGAAATCCAAGCCAAAGGACAAAGAGAGCAAAAAAACAAAAACTTGTTCCAAATTAAAAGAGAAGACAAAAATCGGGTAAGTTGGTTAAAAATTAAATTCCTTTTATTTTTTTGTGAAAGTGCAACCTGCCTAACCTTCTACTTTTGATTTGCTCCCACTTTGAACCATATTTCCTCTCTGAATGAATTAGGTAATATCCCAGGATCTCTTAAGTTGTATATTCTGTGAACATAGATTTTTGCACATCAATATTAATAAAAGGAATTTAAAATAGGAAAATGTTTTAGAATATGAAACAGAGAAATAAGAGGAAAAAAAAATGAAATTACACCCATATTGCAGTGCTAGTGCCAAATTCCCTTTATTTATAGAATGTGTATTGAATTTCTTTATCTCTTAGTTGTGTGTGTGCCTCATTGGGCACCTTGTAGTTTGGAAACAAGAAATACTGTATTTTCAAAACTCACAACTTTGGACTAAATAAGAGTGCAAGAAAACCAAGACCATGTAAGTCAACATTTACTCCTATAGAGCCTTTCTAATGTGTGTATTAAAGAAGTCACGCAAAGCTTAATACTCTAAGAGAATTAATTATAAGGACAAACAATTGCTCTAGGATAGTGCATTACTTCTTGTATTTTTATTTACTATGTAATGAAACTTAAAAATATATATATACAATAAAATAGAAGTTATTATGCTTTATATATATGTATCTTTTTCATGCAAGGGTAAAAATAACCTAAGGCAGAAATAGTTTAGAATTTTTTTGTAGGACTATTTGGTTAATTTTGGAGGTTTTTAATGGAATTTTAGATAAAGTGTTTAATCTGAGTTTTCTTCTTTTCACAGAAATACACAGTAAAAAATAATTCCGTGTTATGAAAATCTTTATTTGCCTAAGAAGGTATTCATGCATTATGGAGATATTTAGAGCCCACACACTTTTATAAACCAAATGAATTCTTAGCATTTTACATACAATGGCCAAACTGAATTAATTTAGTTTGCTGATGATGCCATTTAAAACTTGGATTCTCTTACCATAATAGATCAATAATTATATTATTAACTCTGCATTTTGTTTGAAAATAATTAATAGTATTTTAAAATCAAATTTCTACTCCCTTTATTTTTTAAAGGCTTTTGGTATGGAAGTATCTTATTTTTCCAAAATTATGTCCAGTTTTAGTTTAGGATACTCTTTTGCTGTATTAAAAGTTAATAAAGTTAAAGTTTTTCAGTTTTAACTTGTTCAGAGATGCAGTCAGAAATAATGTACTCTTGGGAAAGGTAACACTTTAAAAAATAATATATAAAGCAACAGAAAATTGGTATCACAGCTTCACAAGTTACATTAACTGTAATTTACTTTAAACTGTGGGTGGACCAGCTAGAGGCAAAAGATATCAGAAGTGAATCTGGTTCAAGAAAAAACAATGCACATAAGGAGAAATTTAGAATAATTAAATTACAATAGAGGGAACATGGATTTTTTAAAAATGTGAATTAATGTGGTATAGGGAGTAGTAAGGTATTGCAGTAGAGTATCTTAATCATTCTAAGCTAATTTTTGTTAGCCATAGGTAGATTATTAACAAACTTTTAATACTGCACGGTATTCATCAATTTAGTACCTTTTTAAAAGGTAGCATTCTTTAGAAAACAGAATATAGGTGAGAATTGTACTGGGAATTTTTTGTGTTTGTTTTCTATTTCGGCTAAATTCATGGCAATGTATGGATAGAAAAAAAATTTTTAAGACTATAGGCCTTTTTGATAGAGAAATTTATAAGTTGTAGGTAGGCAAGTAAGAATCAAGCTGTTTATTAATATGCTTTTGGAGTAAAGTAATGATTTCTTGATCATCTTTATCAACCAAAGGCAGATTATCATCATGTTAGAGGAAAAGTGATAGTTACAATAAATGAAATTCATGTACGAGCCACAGTTCTAATATTTAAACAAAAAGGAAAAAACCAAACTCACTGCCATCTAATCTATTCCACTCATAGCGTCCCCTCCTTGGGTTTCCAAAGCAGTATCTCTACAGAAGTAGATTTTCCATTCTTCCTTCTGAGGAGTGCATGGTGGGTTTGAACCACCAGCCGTTTGGTTAGCGGTCCAAATGGCTTAGGCACTATGCCACCACCAGAGCTCCCAGTTCTAATATTAGCCAACTTCAATATTTTATTACCCTGTCTACCACAAGTCATTATACTTTATAATTTTGAACTTGGCCCTTTTCAGATTTTGAGTTTTTAAGTTTTGTGTTGAAAGTTAACAGTTAAATAGTTAAATTCAGTTTAATCATTTCAAGTTTTGCAGTATTTTATGATATAGTAAACATTTTAATAAAAAATTATTTTCTGTTAATTTCTAAAGAATTGAGTTATTGCTAATATCAAATTACTGATATCAAATGAATTTGAAAGACATATGTTGGAATTTAACCTCCAGCATTGTGAAATATAAATTTGAAATGTAATTAAATTTGTAAACAATAATTTACGGTTGATGTATACTCTGACTAGGTATATGTTTTACCCATAGATATGATTTAACGTCGACCAGGAAGACTATTAGTGTGCTGGAAGCTTTTTCATTATTTATGTCACTTTATAGAATTTTTTTTTTTTAATATTGTGTTTTTAGTGAAACTTTATACGGATTGATTTTGTAAAAAATGCCCTTTTCAGAGCACTTTCATATATAATTTCAATTCTGTGAATGAAGTTTGGCATATAGTATGATGATACTGTGGTTAAATTCTTTGGCTCTGGAACCAATTGCATTTGTTCAAGTCTGAGTTTTATCAGTTACAAGCAAGTGTGACTTTGGGAAAATACTTAACATCTAAGATTTAGTTTTCTCATCTGTATAATGGAGATACTGGTAATGTTTGCCTTATAGTGTTGTTTTGATGATGAAATAAGCTAATGACATTTAAAACATATAGAATAGTACCTGGAATATTCAATGTTCAATAAATGTTAGCCATTATTTTCTGAAAACCATAAAAGATTATAGCACATAGCTATTTAAGGGATTTTTTTTTCTAAAAAAAAAAAAAAGGCCTAGGGCCAGGCACCTTTCTGTAAGCCTCAATTTTTATTCAACTGCTTAAGTTCTCTTTCCATTAAAGCATTATTCCTAAATAGTATCAGTTACACAAAAGCAAACAAACCTAGACAGAAATAGTTGGTACTTGTTAAAGGGATAATAGGTTAACTTATTAATTGCTGTTTTCATATCAGTGTGCTGCTTCTTATCAGGTTAACTAGAATAGCATTAAGGACAGGTAAATTTTCTTTAAAAAATGTGCTTGGAGTTTGATAGGACTTTCCATGGTTATGTGAAAAGGAATGAATTCAAGTGGAAATGGCAGGTATAAAATGAAGGGTGAGGTGGGACAGGAAAATAACCTTTTTTCCACTTTGACATTTTGCATAGAGTTAATCTTGGTATCACGTTCTAAATACTACCTTTAAAGTAGAGTAACAGATATATATCTTCAGTAAAAGTAGGTACATATTAGATACTCCATGAATATTTTATGGAATGAATGAATGAAAAGAAGATTAGATATTAAATGATACCAAATGGTTTAATTTAACTTTTTTTAAATAGAAAAGAGAAATGGTAAGTTAATCCTTTTTAAAACCATAGGGACATAAACTAATGTTTTAGCTATTAGGTAGTTAGATTCTAAAGTAAACTAGTAAAATTCATTGTAGGACCTCCAATAGAATTTTCTTATGGTTCTGTTAGATTGTGTAATAGGATTTTCGCATGATTTGATTAAAGCATTTTTTAAAAAAAGTTTTAATTCACTTCTTTATGTTATAGATTATCTATGACGACATAGCAAGAATGGTTTTGATCATTAAAAATGTTCTTGGCCCTAAGAGCTTAATTAATCAGTGATAGCTCTTCATGGTTAAATTTAAGCTCTTTTCTGCATTATTTATTTATTATTTCTTTTTGTTAAAACAGTACTAGTAATCTTGTGCTAGAAATAGTTTTCAGTTAAAGCATTGTTGTTGTTGTTATGTGCCGTCAAGTCGGACCCGACTCATAGCGACCCCTCCTTGGGTTTCTGAGGCAATATCACTTCGGAAGTAGATTGCCCCATCTTCCTTCCGAGGAGTGGCTGGTGGGTTTGAACCGCCAGCCTTCTGGTTAGCAGTCAAGTGCCTTAGCCACTATGCTACCAGAGCTCCTTCAGTTAAAGCATAAAGGATCTAAATTATGAGTTGTGTTTCAAACTCAAGTTGAAATTAAGTATAGCTAGTAAAGACTAGTTACTTTCAGTGATGGGAAAGATGGCACCAAATATGGACATAGTGAACATAATACGATCAAAGTAAAAATGACTATTTGAGGACATAGGGCCAGGTATAGGCAAATTAGCATAAGAGTGGGTATACATGTATATGTAGGAGGACAGATAGTAGTGTATGTAAGTATCTGTAAATACAAGTATGTGGGTGCAGGCACATATATTCATTGAAGACACAAATACAGATACCTCCTCTGGCATAATCAAACACCTTCCAACATTGGTCTCTGGGGATTGATGGCTTAGGATCATAGTTCCACGGGACAACACAAGAATTATGCCCTGCATGCTAGTGAAGTGAGTGCCTAGAGTCTTATAAGCTCACAAGCAGCCATCTAAATACAGCTACTGGTCTTTACTCACCAGGAGCAAAACAGTAAGAAGGTAACCGAAAGCTCAGAGAAGAAACAAGTCTACACAAGACACAACCTCGTCTGTTCTGAGCTGAGAAAAGTTAGATGGTATCTGGCTCCCACCACTGACCATTCTGACTGGGCTCACAATAGTTGATCCAGGGTAGAATGGGAGAAAAATAGGAAGCAGAATTCAAATTCCTCTTAAAAGTAAATAAATAAATAAGCCAAACTGTCTGAAATAGTAGAGAACAGTGGACTCTCAGAGACTATCGCCCTGAGACACTTTAAATGTAGAACCAAGCCTATCCCCTAAAATTACCTTGTAGTGAAATAGCAGAGTGGTAAACAGCAGAAGAGTCTATTACCCCTAAAAATAG